TTTGCTTCTTTCTGTGAAGGAGATGTAGTGAGTCGTATGAACATGTCTCTTTGCCTTTTCCTAGATTCGTGGACCAGCATTTGTGCCGTTGCTGATCTCCACTGTGGATTCTCCACCTTCTGGCAACATTCACTTCGACACAAGTTGGTTTCTTTCTTTGTTTCTCATTGGGTATTGCATCCATTATCTGGCCTGGTTGCTATGGTTGTCACCGACCTATCACTTGTGCTGAATTTAGGAATACCGTGGAGAGTAGAAGAATCGCTTAGAGCTAAAATGGTGAAAGCCGCCCAAATAGAATATTGTGTTCAGCTGGACAGTCAACAACTGAGAGTTATAGTACCCTTGTTATCTATTTTTTCCCATCATGACCGACTAATGTAAATGGGAGCATGATTGTTCCTGCTGGCTAGATGCCATGACCAGTGAACCCGACTAGCGGGCCCTACTGTAGCGGTTGGAGGTGTTTTTTCCATTCGATTGGTAACCGTCGAAGGCAGTGCTCATAGATTACATTGACCCTGCTTCCGTTATCAATGTATACAAGCTTAACATGATTTTGGCTAATGAATCTGATGATGTGTAATGGGTCGCTTGAATCCCAATGCTCTGGCCTGGGATCACTCTTTGAAAAGGATACGTAAACATGTTTTGATGGTACATTGTCGCGCTTGTGTGTTGGCACTGGAGATTACGGCATGGGCGGGGCCCGGTGATGGTAAGTATTTATGGCCTCCTTTCATGGTCCTTTCCCCCATCCTTTTGATTTCAAGGCTAGTGTTAATCCACATCAAATTTTTCCCTGAGCTTTTTTGCTATGTGAACTATGTTTTCAACTAGCTGTTTCTCATCTATCTCCCTTTTCAATACCGTGTATTCGGTGGTATCATGAGTTTTGCTCTTGTGATATTCGCAGAACTTGGTCTTGTCCTTGCTCTCCTTTAATAGATTTTTTTGATTGCATGGACATCTGCATGATTATTCCTACTGTCATCTTTGTTGAACGGATTGTACCTCCTTGTCATGTGTCTAGAGTGACGATTGTGCTTCTGTTGGTTTCCGTCTTGCGTCTCCTGCTGGTTTGAGATCGGCCGGGAGGACGCCTCCTCCTATTTGATGTATGCGTTGGGTATAACTTTGAGATTGGCCTCCTTTTGCTTTTTCCCTTCGATTTGTCTCAGGTATTTTTCCACACAGAACTTGAGCTCGTCCCTAGATCTGGGGACTGTCCTTTGCATCTTCTTGGACAGGGTTCTAGGAAGCAGACCTTGGGCGAAGGCACCCATCACCAGGAACTCTTCATGTCCTAGGACATTCAAGGTATCTAGCATGAATCGATCGTAATAGTTACAAATCGAATCTCTTTCTTTTTGCTTACATGCCATTACAGAGTTGGCGTCCCCTTTTCCTTTCCTCAACTGCATAAAGTTGTTGAGGAAAAGGTATTTCAGCTGCTCAAAACTCGAGATACTGGCTAAACTCAGAGATTTGAACCACTTACCTGCGTTTCCTGTTAGGGTGTAGGGGAAATAGGTGTAGGTGAAGCGTCGATCCATCTTAAAAGATGTCATCATCCACTCGTAGTTGTGGATGTGATCATCTGGGTCAGTGGTAGCGTCGTATTTTGGCATGTATGGTATCGTTGCAATGTGCGGAATCTCATATTGCAGTACTTCATGGATAAAATTAGAGCACGCACTTCGCATGGGATTGTCCATGTACGAGTATGGTATACCGCCATAGGCCATATGCTGCTGCATCTTGTAAGGGCTCGCGTACATCTGGTTGTGCATGGCTGTCGACGAGATGTACGGTTGATGTTGTTGTAAGTTTGGATGCAATCCAAATTACTGGAATACGTATTACCCTGCCGGGTTAACTATGTATGGGTTTGCTCCTATGTACTGTTGCGTGGATGGATTAAATGGTTGAGTAGCTGCCATGAAGGGGTTGAAGTCAGGTTCTACTGAGAAATGAACTCCAGATCCATAAGAGCCAGATACCAGATTGATCGAGGTCTGTACGTTTGTGAATTGCGGCTGAGAAACTTATGGGATTGAACCTGGACCAGTTGTAGGAATGGGTTGAAGATCAGTACGGCAAGTAAGGAAGGCTCTTCTCCCAGAAGAAATACCCCGACAAATGTAAGTAGCAAAACATCAAAAAATTTCTCCTCGAGCATGTCACAACACATATGGGCAAGTGGAGCTCTTTGATTGGTCCTTGTTAACGTATTCCTCAGGGAGAACGTCAAAAAAGGAGAAGTCAAACTAACGCCAAGCTTCGCCTGGTTAGAGCCTAGTCATATCTAGTATGAGGCTAGGGCTAGGCCTTCACCAATAGATATGCACACAAAAACCGGTTTCACTATTCAAAACCGGATTGGGTCAAAACCGGTTTTGACCAAACCGGATCGGATCGGATTCAAAACTGGATTTTCAATCGGATCCTAATCCTACATTTCAAATTGGATTTGATACCGGATCGTAAACCGGATTTGCTAAAAACCGGATTCAAATCCGCCCCAAAATCAGCGTAAAACCCAATAAAATCGGTTTAAACCGGATTAGAATTGGATTCGTATTTTCACCGGATCCGGATCGGATTTTGACAGGATTCGGCTCGGATTTTGATAGGATCGGATTCTTGATGACATAAGTGAAACCGGATCGGATCGGATTCGGGTTTTGTGCATCTCTATTCACCAATGTAGAGTTGTTAATATTATGATAAATAGGCAGAACTACGCTTTGCCCTCTTATCCCAGAAGAAATACCCTGAAAAACGTAGGACCAATCAGAGAGCCCCACTTGACCATCTGAAGACAACCACGATCATCGCAATATCAAAGATTCTCCTATAGCCAATGAGGCAACGAGGAAAAAATACGTGATGAAGGATCCTTCAATATGGATCCACCACGTCGTGTCTCACGAGGGAAGGCTCAACAGAATCAGTTAGGAGGCACGCGCCTCATAACCAGGTATAAAAGGACCCTTCTTCTTCGTGAAGAGGGGGACGTAATTCCTTTTCCTTAGACTTACCATTTCTACTCTCAAAATCAATTCAAACTTGATCGTTGGAGCTTCGTCCCGGGAATCCCTCTCAGACGTCGACTAACGATCATCTTTCTCTTTTGTACCGTGATATTAGGAGAAGAAATTAACACGACTTTCATACTCGGTCTCGATTCAACCATCTCCGACATGTCACAATATTTGGCACCATACATAGGACATTAGGGGATTGGTTGTTCATAGAAGGGTCTATCCAAGAGCTTTTCCTATGAACACAACACATAAGAATCGTTAAAGGGTGGTCGGTGTTTCTCCCGGGACGTCACTCCGATGATCAAGTTAGTCCTTAATTTAGAGGTAGTTTTTAGGGTAAATTGTATGGAGAAGAAGATGGATACCTTCCTTGAGTCATAAGAGATCCTTTATACCTGTTCCTAATGGAACGAAGTGACTCCCCATGTGGGATTGAGACGTGGCACCCCTATATTAGGAGGTGCATGCCCATGATAACTAACTGACAGGTTACGTCAGTTCTAGGCAGCACCAAGCTCCTTGTATTGACCTAATTGGTTGTGAGAGAATGAAAAGATTATGAGGAATATTCTTTCGTCAAAAGGATAAGCGGGCTACCAGCTCGACACTGGCCTACTCGGGTCAAGGCCGGGTTCCGACGAAGGCCCTGGCATGATAAGGCTTCGTTAGTACTTTTCGTTAAGTTTAATGTGGCCCGCGTACGGTAACATTAACACATATAAAGATACAACACATGCCATAATCACAAAGATAAATAACATACATGATAGTCATCGAGCCTCGCCCGACATTGGATCATACCCGATAATCATAAAAGCACATACATATAACTAACATACAATATACTCATCAGGTTTCGCTTAGCATCGGTCCCCACTCGACATCGGTCCCCCCCAGTATCAGATATGATAAATGCAGAGTCATGTAGACAACTAGCATTCTAACCATTATAAACCCTAGGCCAACATTGGTCCCTTCGACCTATCAATACAGTGATGAAACTCTCCTCTACTGATGATAAATGGAATAACACTCGATCCGCTGTAAACACTGCTCCTCACACTAAACAAAAACTAGAAATAATCCCAATCAATAATTAGGTTTTAAACTAAAACTATGGTATAGTCCATTTCTTATCAAGATAAGGAAAAAAAGACCATTTTCCCTTTTTTATACAAGCCTATCTATACTAAGCCCAAGCCCCCTAATGGCCCAAGGCCCAAAATCGACCCATTGGGCTTCTGCACAGAATGCCTAACGTTCCTCCTTACGATGCATGGCGTACGAACACTGGGCATCCACATGCAAATGCCTGGTGCTTGCTTATTGTTCACCAACTTCCAAACCAATAGCTTAATGGCTTAATATATCTAGTCCAAACTTTAGATCCATAGCTAATAGAATGTCTAAAGCCATAAAGTTGCTAAGTTTATGGCCATGCATGGCTACAATGATCCCAACACCAAGATCCTAAGTCAAGGTCAACTAAAAGGCTCCAAAACTCTTGCATGAACAATTATGAAGATCCAATATCATATTTTTATTCTCAATACACCTCAAAATGTCCGAAAGGATAGCCTATACACTCAATAGTATACCATACTCATAAAGGCTAAGAATTTGGACCAAAAACTCCTAAAGTGAACTTGATCTAATGAAATACAAGCCATGTTTAGAACTTTATACCTCCTAACATTGCTAGGATGATGAAGATCCTAGATCTAAAGCTTCTACAAGCTTTCGAGCTTTATCACCACCTTTTTCTTCCTTTGGAACACTAAAAAACACACACTAAAGGTTCAAAATGAAACAATAAGGCTAGGGTTTGCAAGAGGGGCCATTCTAAAGATGGAGGCTGA